TTAGCCTCTAGTAGTCACTCGTTCCGCTCCCAGGAAGTGGAAGCCACCATTATCTGGAAGTCATCAATATACGATGTAGTGAAGATCTCTGTGGGGTCATCCGACAAGTAAAAAGGTTTCACATAGATGACGAATAGGAGTGGGGATAGCAGAGAGCCTTGCGGAATTCCTTTGTTCACCTCATGGGTGCGTCTTAGGCTTCCCGGGTAGGCCAATCTTATATTTCTCGTGGCAATGAAATTTCTAATCCAGTCGGTCAAATAGTCAGGGACTGATAGGTTCTCAGCCAACCTGTCTATTAACTTTTGGTGATTCACATTATCAAAGCCACCCTTCATGTCCAGGAAGATTGAGGAGACCTTCTTTCCTGCAAATTGCACCTCTCTCGTCCAATGTTGTAGAGTAAGCACTGCGTCGACTGTATATCTCTGTGGCAGACTACCTGTTTTATTGATGCAGTACAACCCCATTTTATAAGCGATGTCCATTAGCCTACTATTGACTACCCTCTCTACTATCTTCAAAAAGGTCTGCATCAGGGCGATCACTCTGAAGCTGGCGCAGTCATTATAGTTGTCCTTATTTGATTTCGGCAAGATTACACCAGTCAACTCCTTAAGCATGGGCAGGTGAATCCCCCATTCTAGCAGGTGTTGTACCATGGCCAGAATTATCTCCTGGTGTATGCCGTGTATTCCTTTCCACACCCCATACAGTACTTGGTCCGGGCCAGGGGCTGAGTTGCTACTATATTTCTTGAGGACATCAGTAATGTCGGACGAGGTTATGGGATGTAGATTACCCAGCTCATATGCCATTGGTTGTTTCATTACAACTGGCTCAACATTCTGAGAAAAGAAGTGATTCATTATCAAGAGTTCTGCCTGTTCAGGCGTGCTACTCAGACCACCGGGTACCCTGTTCAGAACTTATTCTTTCGTAAACTAGTGTGCTGTCTACTCGTCATTCTTCTTAGTCATAGACAAGAATTGAACCCAGTGATCATGCTTCCCTTTGACCAACGCCTTCTGGTATTCTTTCCTCACCCTGTTGCTTTCTTCCACTCCCGCTCCATCCCGTCTTACATGCCTAGCAGCAGCAGTATAAACTCTTCTCAACTCTATGATCTCCGGCATCCACCATGTCTTCAACCATCTTGTAGGCCTCTTCATAGGCACTAACTCCTTGACCATATGGATCAACCTATTAAGGTTGTCCAGGAAATCATCTATGGCCTCGGCTGCCACTGTAGTTACTTTATAACCGTCTCGGTTCTCGTAGAAACCTTTGAGCATAGCTTCTATTGCAGGGTTAGGTTCTTCTTTCTCCCCCCGCCATCGTATTTCTTTCCAATTTGGCACCGGTTTCGCAACCTCTACCTCCTCAGAATCAATGTCTATGCAGATTACACTATAGTCCGATCCAGCTTTTTGCGTAATATCCTACCATCTCGTTACTCTACCCAACAGGGAAGTGTTTGCCAGAGAGTAGTCGATAGTCGATGGTCGATGTAGAATCAGGTTATCTGGAAATCTCGTGTGTATTCCGGGAGTATTTAGTATCGCATATCCATTCAGGGCTGCTGTATGCATATACAGCTTCCTTTGTCTTCTCTTAGTATATGAGAGGTTTCTCAGGGAGTCTATGTACGTCATATGCACATTAAAATCTCTGACCACCAAAGTAGGTTCGTTCATTTCTTTGAACAGAGCCTCTGCTAGAAGTGAGTTCTGTCCATCGTTTCGTCAGTTATAACCATTTATAATCCCCAAAGAGCGGCCTGGCCTCAAAAGCTTCCCCTCTCTCGCAAAGACCCTCATATGTAGCATGTCCTCCACGCTGGGCACTAAAACAAAGGAAACCTCCATCAATACCCTTAACGAAATATACATGCACACACTAACCTTATCTGTTTTTTGAAAAACATACTCATATCCTGGCACCCTTAAGGGTAAGCCATTAAATAAGGATGGATCTTGAATATATACAAAGGAAATACAAAAATTCCTAATGACATAAAATAACGAAATAAAAACATTATTACTCTCTCTGCAATTATGCTGTGCTATCTTCATCTTGATCTTCTGCTCACCAGCATCTCTTCTACGGTCCTCCTTCATCCCGGCCCAACTGCCTAGTTCTGGGTTCCCAAAGTTCCAGCACTGGCTACGGATGCCATCCACTGGTCATATTTCGCCTTCACTTGTTCCTTGACTCTGACCTTCTCAGGGCAGTCCGCATCCCTGGCTGAATGTGGTTCCCCCTGGGCTGGGCCTTTTGCAGGTGTCATAGAACAGCAATCTGAAATTTTCTTCTTGTAGCTCCTACAGGCAGTTTGATAGCATTTATAGGATTCCTCCGTGTGGTCCTTTGAGCAGATCGGGTATGTGTCATTGGTTTGCTTACAACCTATCTTAGGGTGTCCAAACTTCCAACACTGAGTATACTGCGTAGTCAAATTCGCTTGCTACATAACATTGGCTTCCTTATATTTCCCCAAGTACAGGAACTTGGAGGTGATCTTTTCGACCGCGGCCCCCGGTATCCTTACGATAATGGACGTCGCTCTCTTCCTTTCCCTATCACCCTCACTCAACTTGAGGTATTTGGCGCTTAAAACATCAATATCATGGGACAGCTTGAGAGCACTGTTGACGTCCACAGACAATTCTTTTTCGTCTTCCGGGATGGCATCGAAAGGGATTCCATGGATAAGCACATCCACGTCGGTTGGAGTCCTCCTGAAAGCCAGGAACTGTACCTCCCCATCCTCAACCACTGAGTTCAATGCCTCGGTCATTTTCTCTAGGTATTTCGTATAGTGCGACGAATTGAAACTTGCCGGAGTAGTTAGCAACACCTTACCGTTCCATATATTAGAAGAAACCTGTAGGTTGATCGGAGCTTTGCATTTGCACTTCGTCAGGGTGTCCGTGATCGCAATGGATATTCTGGCCTCATCTCTGGCCTGGTGCCTGAGTGGGACCGCCTGAGTCCTAGTCGTGAACAATTTCCTAGCTGCCGAGTGCTTCGCTTTCAACTTCTTTTTTGACCCTTTCACCTCCTATCCCTGGTCCTCTTTGTCAGTCTCATGGTCCCCTTTCGGGGTCTTCGGATTAGGCTGTTTCGGGGGCGTCAGTTCCTGATCCGCCTTTCTCTTCTTATCTCCATTCTTAGGGGTCTGTGTCCCAGGATCTGCCGTGGCCTGTACATATGACTTGGAAGCCTTAACAGGTGTCTTTTGCAAGATCTTAACCGTTTTCGTTTGACCCTCATGGATCAGTTCTCCTTTGTTCTTGATATCCTAGATCGTTTTGGCCATGTTTTGCACCTCGACTGTGAGCACCTTGACCTGTTGTGCCAGACCCAGTATCAACAAGTATGTTGTCATCTCTGCCGTCCCGACATCATCTTCATCCAACAAGGTAATGACCTTGTCAGCAGGGGAGTTCTTCGGTAGCCTGTGTACGGACAAAAAATTGCAAAGAGTTTTCTTGATCTGAGTGAAGCCAGGATCTTCCCCCGTGCGCCCACCACCAGGAGTTGGAAATTCAGGGGAGTCTGACTGATCGGTTTCTATAACCTCTCCAGAGGAAGCCATATTCTGGAGTAGCCTATCCGTTTCTTAATCTCAGCTGAGTTGGTGTTCATGTAACCTAACAGGTCACGTTACATGATGAGAGAAATTTTTTGTATGGTGGTGTTGAAAAAAGTGCAAAATGCACTTATCCGGAAAATAGGGGGAGCGGAGCTTGATTCATGGTACTTGTACGAGTACTGTACTAGTACTGCACAGAGCAGGGATCAGAGGTTTGATGGCAGTGGTACTTACAGCCTGAGTGCTTGCAATATGGGTACAAAAACTCCGTCTAAATCGGAGCTACGTATTGAACTCGATGAAGCTAGAGCTAAGGAACCAAATATATTGTGATCATAGCTAACAGTTTCTGATTTTATTTTTTCCCTTTCACCTTTCTCATCAGTCATTCATGGCCCTGGATTGGACTGCATATGATAATTTTCCAGTGTTCCAAAATTACCTTTGCGAAGGAGGAATAAGGGGCTCGGTCGTGCCAAGCCGTTTCGACACTTTCTAAACGCGGATTACACGCCGTAGAATTCTTGGCAACAAGCCATCAAATCGAATGCCTAAAACACCAACTACCGCCATCGCGTCTCCCTCACTCACGCCTAGAGTTCTCCCGCTACATCCCCACCACCTTCTCCCCCACAACGAATTTTTCTGCGAGATCTTGTTTTGATATCATTTTTTTCCTTCCACTTAGTCTTGAATCGTGGTCGGGTACGATAACATGGCGTTTAGGGATTCCAATCCCCTTGGAGCTCTTGCGACGGGTGGCCAAGAAGGGCAGCCGCAAGCTCAGTTGGTCGGGGGGGTTCAGCAGTTTGAGGTTGTACTTGAGGTTAGTAGCAGGTATTGTTGTATTAATTTCGCGATTGTTAACAAATTGAATGTGTTATAGAACCTTGGTTTTTTAGGCCTGAACGGAGAGACCAGAGTCAAATTATTTGCACAGGGCTACAACACCGACTCTTTACCTATCCCGAGTGCATCTTTATTTGCTATTGCCAACAAGCGCGGTTTATTTGCAGCTGCTACGTTTTCCAGTGGGCACCTTTCTCGCGCTGATCGAAGAAGCTGTTGACCCTTTCTAGATCTTATCGTTGGAAGCACCTCATCCCTTCGCGAAGCTTTCGCCAACACCACCCAAAAGATTGCATCCTATAACTCTCGAATTTCCCTTTCTCTACCAACCAACATTTCTCATGTGGCATTTACAGCGGATGAATCTCATCTTGTGCTCGGCTCATCCTCTGGGGGTCTTGCGATATATCTGGTCAGTGACTTTTCCTCAGCTGGGGGCGATTTGAAACCTATATTCGAGTTGGGCACAAATGGTGTTCCATTGCGAGAATTAAAGCCCAATCCTGCGGTGCCAGAGCTGGTGGCTATTGTTACCTCGACAGGAGAGGTCCAGATGGTCAACATAGACACAAGGGGTTTTGAGAAGAGCTCAAGTGGAGATGTCGTATTGAAGAAAGAAGCCTCAACGGTGTCATGGAGTCCACTGGGAAAACAGATTGTTTGCGGGATGGGAGACGGAACTGGGTGGCAGATGACCCCTGGGGGGGAAGTAAAAGCTGTTTTACCGTCGGTTCCAGGCCTGGAGAATTACTTTATATCGTCAATTGTTTGGGTTGGGAATGCTACATTTATCACTACGCATACCCCGGTCCCATCTGATGATGCGAATAACGAATCTGTTTTTCATGCGTTGGTGCGAGATGGTACATCATATCAGTACACGAAACTTCCTGATCCTATTCCGCCGTTTGGGATGGACTCCCGAACTCCACCCTACTTTTTCCACGCCATGATTCGGCAATATGCTCCAGGCATGAGAGATATGATCATGTTTACCAATACTTGCTCATCAGACGTCGGCCTTGTTTGCCGGTTTTCTACTGCATTGACTGGAGATCCTTCAGTGCCAGCGGATAACTGGATCACCGCCGGCATCGGCGATGATCATCGGAGAGCCCAAATACCTTTGGGCGGTGAAAGCTTTTCTGATACCTCGCCAATCGGAATGGCTCTGGATTTGAGCAATAAGGCAAACGTGAAACGCCCCGTTGGTGGAGAGGAAATTGAGGAATCGCCGGGACCGTTACCAATTCTTATGGTGCTCAATCACGAAGGATTGCTGAGTGCTTGGAATGTTATTTACAACGATGCTATTGAACAGAACGAAAAGTATAATGGAATGATGGTTTACGTAACGCAGGAAGGACCCTCACAATCGGCACCGCAAACGCCACAGCAGCCAGCATCTCAGAGGCAGTCAGTTCAGAATATAACGCCTAGTCCCGCCTTTGGGGTGAACTCTTTTGGACAGTCACCAGTTTCTAATGGCAATGGCACATTTGGCCAGCCCTCAAGCCTAGGAAGCCCGAATACATTCGCAAAGCCCGCGACTGGCGCTTTTGGACAGTCTGCGGCGTCACCAACATTCGGCCAACCCTCTAGTATTGGTGCGAGTGGGGCAAGCGCGTTTGGAAAACCTTCTGCTCTTGGAGGATCTATGTGGGGTTCCACCTCAGGAGCTTCTCCTAGCGCACCTGCTCCAACTTCGGCAACCGCTTTTGGTCAACCATCGGCCCTTGGAACAAGATCTGTATTTGGTCAACCTGCAACTCTTGGGGGTCAACCTGCTTTTGGCCGGACCGCTGCCCTTGGTGTCCAGCCTGTGTTTGGCCAACCTGCGCCATTGGGATCAGCTACTACTGCTCCAGCATTCGGGGCACCTACTCTTATAGGGGCAAATAAGCCCGGAACTGCTGGATTCAGTGCTGTTTCCTCCCTTGGAAGCCCCCCTGCTGGAGGAAGCCCGTTTGGAAGTACTTCTGCTTTTGGAGGTGGAAGTGCATTTGGTGCGTACGCGAATAAGGGGGGATTCTCAGCAGCAGCGGCAGCGGCAGGTAGCGGAGATAGTAAACCTATCTGGGGCACAGGTAAGAGCCTAGGCTCTGACACCACGTCCACAATGTTCGGGGGCGGTGATAATGTACCTAGTCCATTTACTTCCGGGAGCACCGGTTCCTTCAAGCTATCCAGTGCGTTCAAGCCAGACCCTGAATCCGCCCCTGAGAATAAACCATTCCCTCCAAGCGGTGGTTTTGGTAGCCTTGGAGTGGGGCTAGGGGATGCTCTTACTTCTACACCGTCTGCCATTTCTCGCCCCGGACCACTGCCTACTCCGGGGGGAGTATCTGATCAGAATATCAGAGATGCAAGCATGGACGATAGCGACGAGCAACCAGATGAACCAAGTGACGATGATGACATAATTTCTCCTGAAGCAACAGAAGCTCGACAAGCCGGGTTCCCTTCAACACCCGCGAAGCCAGGCCTTCCCCATGGTATCTTCTCGAGCACGAAAGCGGCAGGCTCCAGTTCATCTGCGAGCAACCCGTTTACGTCAGCGAATCAAAGTTCATCACCCTTCAGCTCTGTACCTGGCCCTTCTTCGGGATCACCTTTTGGTGCTTGGGGGGCGCAACGCAAGACACCCTTTGGCGTTCCAAGCACTCCGCCAAAGTCCCCCTTTCCCACTACACCAAAACTTTCGAGCCCGTTTCCTGGTCCGAGTAGACCTTTGACCTTTGCTCAGTCACCCGAAAAAAGTCCCGAATCCGCCCAAGCGGCAGTGGCAGCGCCGGTAACTAGCTCGCCCCCTCCGCCATCGCTTCCACCTCACTCACCATTTACTTCCGAGGAGAAGGGTCTCGAGACACTTCCAGCATTGCCAGCAGACGAGTCCTCTACACCCGCATTAACTGAGGAAGCATCGTCGATACCGTTACCCTCAGGTCCTGAATCCGTGAAGGAATCAAGCGGCACTCAGGCTAGTGAGTCGCCTAGCTTGCCTTCCCCGGGGCCCAAGAGTGTGGGAACGGATAATGAACAAGTTACCTCGCTAGACGGAAGCGATGATGACAATGATGGACACCAAGAGAGTAAGGGAGAGGGTGATGAAGGCAAGAGAGACAATGGAGACGAAGATGAGGACGAAGATGGAGATGACGAAGATGGAGATGACGAAGACGGAGGTGACGAAGATGGAGATGACGAAGATGAAGATGACGAAGATGAGGGTAACAGCGAAGGGGATGACAGCCCACTATCCGAGGGGTTTGTATTTGAACCTAAGCCAAAGTTGCCCTCCGCATCGAGTGGTCCAAGCACATCTGATGTTTTTGGAACCGATACAACCTTTAGTGGGACGTTTATTAAGGGAGGTATTGAAGAAAACGCGCTATTCAGTCCTTTGGCTAAAACCCCCCTCCCAGTCAATGATAGTGACAGTGATCGATCGAGAAATTCGTTATTAGCCAGCCCAAATCTAAAAAATCGTTCTCCTGGCGCCGCTGTTGGCTCCCTAGCGAACAAAAATAAGGGGGGGAAGAACAGTCTAGGTCGACGGGGCGTGTCCAACAGGCCGCCTAAGAAACCTGACGCTTCTAAAATACTTAGTACTCTTTGTCCGTCTGATTTTCTCGCATCTAGAAATAAGCCTCAAGGGACTTTTCCCTTCCAACCCTCGGCGGACGACTCCATAAACAAACCAGCCGGGAGCAGCCCGTTAGCTGCTCCGGCGTTGCAGGCGAAACAGGCTAGCCAAGAGGAAGGAGAGAAGGAAGTCCAAGAGGAGGAGAGAGTCCAAGAGGAAGGAGAGGAGGAATTCCGAGGGGAGAGGGAAGCCCAAGGGGAGGAGAAAGTCCAAGAGGAAGGAGATGAGGGACCCCAAAAGGAGAAGAAAGCCCAAGAGGAGGAGGGAGCCCAGGAGGAGGGAGTCCAAAAAGAGAAGAAAGCCCAAGAGGAGGAGAGAGTCCAAGAGGAAGGAGAGGAGGAAGTCCAAGAAGAGAAGAAAGCCCAAGAGGAGGAGGAAGTGGAAAGTGATCTGGATTTTGATAACGAATACGACGACTACGATCCGGACCGGGTACGGAATAAGTTGTTGAATAGTGACGTGAAGCCTGTCCAGGAGTTGCCGAAATTCAGGCGCAATGGGGAGGTTGAGGTCGCAAGTGTAAGGTGCCTGCTCTACCCACCCAAAGTTACTCTACTAAACCGCCATTTCGAACTTTAGGATTTCAATGCAGTGTTCGATTCCATTTACCTTAGCGGCAACATGATGATTAATAGGCTTGGCCTAACTGTTCAAGGGCTCAAAGCCTACCATCTTGGCCAAGAGAACCCACTCCCGGATGTGGAGCATAAGACGGCAAAGGAAATGAGGCATCCACTAGACTGGAGGTTTTGCGAAATGGACCAAGTCAAAGAGATACTCGAGCAGTTACTTGCAAGTGTGAAGGGCGAAAACCAGGGAAACGATGAATTGGAAGCGAGGTATCAAGCAGCGAGTAAAGGGTTCATTAAACGTTGGTTTTTCATTACCCCCGTTTTATTTTTGCGGCTTAGAATATAACTGATGAAATTGGATAGTTGATGTTAAGGATGCGGAAATTAAACGGCTCCTTGCTGTTCACAACGATGCTCAGGCCGCCGCGATTGCTCGCGCTAGGCCACTTACGCCAGAACAAGTTCTACAACAACGGAAGCTCAGGAAGGAGTATGCAAAAGTGGAAAGGCTCCTTAAGGAGGCCGAAAAGGAAGTAACGCAGCTCAAGGCCAAAATCGCATCCCGAGACAGGGACAGGCCTGGGGCCGTGGTTCCACCGACTGTGGAAGCGGTCAAGAATACAATCATGAAATTGACAGGGATGGTCGAAAGAAAGAATGGAGATATCGATTACCTCGAAGAGCGTTTGAGACGAGTCAAAATCAAATCTCGAAGCGCTTCTGCCACTCCGGGCAAGTCTAGAGGTTTAACCCCGAACCAGACCCCTAGAGGAGAAACACCGCAAAGATTTGAGACTCCAGAGAAATTGAGATCATACGATAATAATACTTCAAGTGTTAGTTACCCGGCGAGCCCAGTGTTGGCCCTAGCAGATCCCTTGGATGTTGAGGAGGCTAGGGAGGAAATTAGAGCAAGGAAGGAGATGGGGAGGAAAATGAGGGACGCTCTGGAGATATGTGGACCTAAATTGACGACGGTGTCAAGATGGAGCGGTGAAAATTAATCTTTCTTGTTGGAAGGGAAAGTAACCTGGCTCCTTGTATTTTTAATTCGGTGAAATTTAAAGCTCTGGTTTCAAAGTTCGTAAGTGGTTTGTGGCAATGGTTTAAAATTCCCTGACCGTATTATCATAATTATTATTATGATGCATTGCGGTTCCTCGCAGATCATGTTTCTCGGGTGTTAACCTGGGGCTTGGTCTTGGCCAATGCGCATTACAAGAGCTTAATCTATGGTATAAAAACTTATATTTGTCATTAAAATTTACCGAGTGACTGTCTATGATATAAAGTGATCTATTATAGATAACTTTTTCTTACCACACATCTCATAGGTGGCCCACTTTTTCGCAACACCCTCTAGGCTCGTTCGTAACTAGGCGGACATCTAGGCAAGAGCTCATTTTTCATTCAAACGGAGCCGAGAGCACCGCTGGCTTGGTATTCTGCAGACTGGGTGGTAAATGCAAATCAAGGTTCCCCCAAGCCACGGTCTTGCATCTTGACCGATGCCCTCACCACGCTTGATGTCGAGGGCCGAACCCCGAAAGCGTCTCAGGAGGAAGAGTCGTGGCTGTTGATACGTAGCAAAAGGTTTCTTAAAATCAGATGGAGCACTGGCGCTTAATCAAGATTCACGAACCTTTACAGACTAGTTCCATGTATACCCATGCGTGGGAGCCAGCTACGGTACCAGTACTGGGTACATACACGTAGCTAAGCAATTCGTACCGGTATTTACCCCGAAGGAAAACCCCCCCCCCACACGGATGGCAGACTACGGCACTTGCTCTGTGGTAGACGTTGTTGCAGCAAAATAAACGTCTGCAATATCAAAGCTGAAAAGAAAAAAAGAAAAAAAGTGAGATCTCTTTTTTTAAATTTTTTATTATGGCATTGTAGGTTTTCATAAGACAGCAGTGTTCTTCTACTCGGGATGCACACGTTTATAGTATATAATTCACCCTAATTAAAAAGAGTTCGCAGTAATCTCAGTTCGGACTGACTTTGGGGTATTATGGATAATTTACTTTAGCACATATGATATATGCTGTATGATATGTATGATACGGGCTTCAATGGTCGGAAAGTTACCCAGTGACCTCTGCATAGGAAAATAACCCAGCCTTTTTCTCTCCTATTTCCGCCCTCCACAACCTACCGGTGGGAGTTCGCTTGTCCTCTTTCCCCTAAACAAAAAAGTCCCCTACAAAAAAAGAGCAATTCATGAACAAAACCACCATACGATAATGTCACTCCCCGATTTTCCGAATGAGATTCTCCTCCTCATCGCGAAGCATCTAAGCCCTGGAGACCTGAACAGCTTCCTCTCCACAAACCGCCATTTAGCCGCCGTGCTTACCCCGCTTCTCCACGACCTTGCCGTCCAGGACAAGGACGGTCTGCCGGCATTGGAATGGGCGGCAATCGAGGGCTACGAGGACTTAGTGACCCTGGTACTAGAGCGTAAGAAGGAAGAATGCGCGGGCATTGATTGGGCGAAGGGAGCGCTGCACCAGGCCTCAGCCTACGGCCACGGAGCCATCATAAGAAAATTGCTGAATAGCGGTGTAGTCGAGGTGCACAGTCGGCTAGACGGGCTAACGGCATTGCACTACGCTTCCCGCTATGGCAAGGAGGTTGCGATAAGATTGTTGTTTGAGTATGGCGCGGATGTCAACGCCCGTGACGGAAGGTCAAATGATACGGCGTTGCACTTTGCCATTCATGGATTCGAGTGCGTCGCGGGCGGAAGGAGGATGGAGGATGAATTGGGGGTTTGGAGGACGTTCGGTGGTGGACATGGCGTTACTTGTTCGGGGATTCAAAAGGGCTTTCTGGCGTGCGTGAAGGTGCTCTTGGAGAAGGGTGCAGATGCCCGGTTGAAGGATTCGTGCGGGAGAACCGCTCTTGATATAGCTCGGAAATATAAACTTGGGGATGCAATCGGGTTGCTGGAGGAGGCCAGACTTAGGCCTAATCTCTGACTACCGCTGAGCTCTCCCTATCGGATGTTTTCTCTTCCCTCCCCGGTATGCGAAATGGATTCGTCGGGCTATTTATCCTCCTCTTTCCTCCCGGGACTACAGAAACGATTCCGAGCGTGTTGATGTCAGTGGTATGGTTTGATATTGGGAACTTCTGGAGAGGGTTTTCTTTCTACTCGAGTATTGAATTACCTATGTTTCACTTTTACAATCGGATACGTCATCGGGCAAGGGAATGGTCATTGCTCAATCATTGATTGCTGACCAGCCTTTCTCACTCCTGGTCAGGTATTGGCAGCTACAGTCTCAATTCTCCTTCCCACCCAGTTCACTCACAGATAAATATTTCCGACCCCTTGTTACAAGTATCTTTAACTACTTCCTATCCAAAAAAAGCTGCATTACTTATTATTACCCTTTTCGATCCCCCCACAACTAAGACTTTCCTACCTTACCTTACTTTCTTTTTCTTTTTCCAAATTTGGACGAAGAATTCAATCGCAATACGTGTGAACCCACCCCCTTTGTCAGCCTTAGGACTAATATAAAAATCGGCATCGCGAGCATCGATAATCTGAATTCTGCGTCATTACCTCGATTCGCAAGACCTTCTTGACTCTTTTTTTTCTTCTTTTCTTTTCTTTCCTTTTCTTTCTTGCATTCGATGTTCCGCTGGATCTTGGTGCGCCATTTCGGTGCTCCTATTCTGCCCCTTGCCTCTGGAGTAACTCTCTGTGCCGTAAATACGTTCGCGGCGCATCTACTTACCGTTGGTCATGTCAGCTGCACATGTTCGTCGGGTTCTTCTTCTTTTCTCTTCTCGTGTGTTCACCTCCCCCCTCCTTCCCAACAGGCAAGCTGTCTTTAAAGTGCGATCGTGCTGTCCATAATGAGCTCCCGTTTCCGTCACCCGGTTTTCGTAATTTTTTGTCATTACTTCGGAAGAATTGAGTGCTCCTCCACCGGTTCCCCTGCAGTCTGTGGAGGCGGGTGGGCGGGCTCTGCTGTGCTGTACAGTATGATACTTTACCGTACAATGCGAGTCCTCGAGTACTCAAGTACTGTAGGACGATCAGATGATGGAACGATAATCATGGAATGTCAATCGATCGTACCGGTTTAACTTGTGACTTTTCTTACCCCCAGCCGGTGAGCCCACTTCTTCATCGCCACCACGAGTATCTCTGGATGAGAGGGCTAAAAAGAAAAGGTTGTCGGAAACAATGAGCTCATCCCGTAATCCAATTAAGTTGAGTTTGAAACGAATGTACCGGTACTGCGCTTCTCAGCCATTCGACACCTAAACTCTCTATCGTCACACTGAGGGCCTCAGCCTATTCGCTAGTTCGACGGCTTGCTCCTTCGACCCCATTCGCGGCGCAGTAACCGTTACCAACCCCACTTTGTTTTGAATACACAAGAGCGATTCTCTATAATAGCAGTTGTGGGAATGTTCTGAGGGCTCGGTGGGGGAAAGGTGAGAAAAAAGGATAGGTGAGAAAAAAATATAAAAAAATATTAAAATCGATAATCAATTGGCCAGCAAGTGCCCGATCCTCGATGGAAATAAAAGTGGAAAAAAAGTGGAGTCTTGTTCCAACTGGGACTAGCCTTTGATTTTTGGCTCCATCCTAGTTTCCTGATCTCCCGCCTGATAGGTTACACGTTGTCCCAGTTGTGTTACAAAGATGGTTTTGTAGTGTTGATTTTTTGCCCCCCCCAGTCACCGCCCGCCACGCACCTACTTAGAGAAGAGTATCGGGGACGTGTCGAACCCACAGTAGGCAAGCAGGCAGAGTTCTACTTGACACGAGTTTTTTTTTGAGGGGGTAGAGGAAGCTGTATGGTTGCTTTTTCCTTATCCTTGGCCAAATATCGTTTTGGGGGTGCTATAGGTTATTCCTTGGGTAGTAGAGTAGCAGAGGTAAGAAGCGGTTGATTACTCGAGTATTGTTATCCGTCCAACTGTCATCGTATCACCGGCGGACCGTCGACACTCCTATACAACACTGGCTCGCTCTCTAAACTGCCTGACACTCTGCCATCACCAAGTAAAAAAAGGAAAAGAAGAAAAAAAAACACACAACAGTCTATCCGTACGAGTAAACATAAAAGTAAGGGAGCTCAGGGGTAAATTCTGCCTCATAGCTTTTCTGTACATCCTATTATTTTCACTACCCCCCCCCTCCCTACGATTTTTCCTTTTCACCACCGTATTATATATCTTTTCTAACCAAACCAGCATTTCATTTTATTTCATTTCATTCCCTTTCCTTCTCTTCTGCGACCCACCTCCTCTTAGTTGATCTAGGAAGGCAGAGAAGAAAAAGAAAAAAAAAATCGGTCTTTTTCTCGATAATTTAACGATAAGCTCCCCGTTTACCTCTGAGGTGGAAGGGTTTTGAAAAAGAGGGACCTTGAACCAGTACAGTACAGTCAGTACATTACAGTAACAACAACGCAAACATGCCTGCGATTTTCACGACTCCCATTAAGCGTGCCAACCATTATGCTGTTCTTGGTGTCACTGCCGATGCTTCGGACGCTGAGATCAAGAAAGCGTATCGAACGCTTGCCTTTGCACATCACCCCGACAAGAATCCAGGGAATGTGCAGAGCGCTACTGAGAAGTTTACTGAGGTACGTTTTGGGGTTTATATTTGTTTCCATGGAGTCATTTGGTGGAAGTGTGGGAGGTGGTTCCATTCGATACTCTTTGTTCCCATTGAGAGCAAGTTTGGAAGAAATGAGCAAAGCGGCTTATAGGATATACGGTGATATCAAGGTCAAGGAAGCATACGAAGTATTGAACGACCCAGAGCAGCGGGAGAAATATGACAAAGAACTCGGAAGATACAGCCTCAAGAGCTCGAGTTCATTCCCAGGTGAGCAACGCAAAAACTCCGACATTTGTATCTACAACTAACAAAAAAAAAACCAGTATATGAAACTCCTGTGCCAAAAAAACATCAATATACTTTTGACGGAGCCCCGAATCGCTCCGCATCAAGATCCCGTGAATCATACCCACCTTCTCCCCGTCGCTCATCGTCAAAACCCCGCGACCTCTTTGATGGGGCCGCCATACCCCATATTAGGCGTTCGTCGAAATCCTCTCGTGATCCATTCGACGCCTCGCCAACGACCCCACCCCCGCCGCATATTCGCCGCTCCACATCGAAACCCCGTGGTGACGCCGCTTTCGACGCCTCACCAACGACCCCACCACCTCATATTCGTCGCTCCTCATCAAAATCCCGTGGTGATCACTCCTTCGACGCCTCGCCAATAACCCCACCACCCCATATTCGCCGCTCGCCATCGAAACCCCGTGGTGATCCCTTCGACGTCTCGCCAACGACCCCACCGCCTCATATTCGCCGCTCTTCCTCAAAACCCCGATCTGACCCCTTCGATGTTCCGCACAGCCCATCCAGGCCGCGCGCGGACACGTACAACGGCACCCCGCTGCGCTCGTCGTCAATGTCCCGCGATCCTTTTGGTGTATTGGGCACACACACATCTTCCAAGCGGCGGGATTCCTTTGACGCTGTTTCCACTCGCCGCTCTTCCTCGCGGTCTCAGGATGCGGACCAAATCCTGCTCGACCCAGAGTTGGGCCGCTCGAGGCACACTGCTGCAGAGCGGGCTAAGGCGCCCTGGGAGCGCAGGCAGAAAGAGGCAACAGAGAGGATTGAGGCCGAGAGAAGAGAGGCTGAGGCCCGCCAGGCAGAGTTGAGAGAGGCGGAGAGGAGAGAAAATCTGCGGCGAGAAGTGGAGAAGCGGGAGGCTCAATGGCGAGAAGAAGAGGCTAGGAGACTTGCTCGCAGAGCGGGGCTGGAGAAGCGCCAGATGAGGCGGGAGGCAAGACAAAAGGAGCTGGAGCGAAAGGAGGCTGAACGACGACAGGCAGAATGGAGAGAATCTGTGAGAAAGGCTGCGGAGCGAAAGGAAGCAGAAAGGATTGATCTTGAGAGGGGAGATAATGGCAGAAAAGAACAGATCATCCAATCCATCTCGACAGTCCAAGATATGATCTCGGAGTATAGAATGGAAACTCCTACTAGGAGCAAGAGTTGGGCAAGATATCGATCAGAGGACGAATTGAAATCGTACCTCCAGCATCAGTGCGCAACCTTAGTTGAGATTCTACAGGAGTTGAGCTAGATTATTCCTTCCAATTCCCCCCCCTGTATTCATCATCAAAAATGGCTTTGAGAAAGTTATTTTTTTCATGGTAAACAAAAAATTCTTTGTACATTTTTAAAAACGGCTTTTTTTTTTCCTTTCCCCTCCCTTCAATCTCATTTGTACGAACACTCCCACGCCCCCCCCCCGTTACAATTTATTGCCTTTTAATTCTCGTTTTGGAAAAAAAAAATTCAACTGTATATATACTACCCCCGCCATGTCGCAGTTAGTTCTTCAACCCCCAAAATTTCTTATGTTCACTTGCACACCCAGCTCATCTGCCTCCCTCCCTCCCTACTTCACCACCTACCTGCTCTCCACAAAAATACCATTTCCTTTCTTAGGGCTGGTCTCACAAACGCTCACTCGCTTGTATGAATTAATTGAAAAGTATTTACCGTGTAAAAGTTTACGTCGGTATCCCATCATCAAATTGCAAAATGTCTCTTCTATAATAACACTAAAATACCAACCCCTCCTTTTCTCCCTTGGGGAGCCTGGCCCGTGCACACTCCGCGGTGTGTTCGATGTTTATACGATCCTGGCGATATGCACGAGTAAACTCCCTACCGCAGCTTACCATAGGATACCACAGTAAGAAAAAACGGGGAGGAGCTAATTAAGTGAACAACCAAACAAATAAGTAGGTAAAATAAGGAAATGAATGAATGGAGGGAGAAAGAGGGGAGGAGAGGAGGGGCCTCTTTGGAAATACTTGTGCTTCGCGCGTTGAGAAAATTGGGATGGCGGGGCGGGCGGGGGTTGCTGCCGGTAGTGGGGTGGGGTAACCCAGTTTTGCGGTAGACAGTTGGGTAAGATATGTATGGATGAGGGAAGCTCCCGTTCGTGCGTGTGCTATGTTGGTTCATGAAGGGTCACTCGGTGGGCTCGGACTCCACGGGTGGCGTGGCCTGTGGGTTTGGTTGGGTGCTTTTTCGAAGTGCAAGAAATTTATCTTGGCGAACCAGATTGCGAGCTGCAAGTGTTCCCTATTCTGCGACGATTATTGGCTGGATAGTTGTTCTCGTACGGTTTCTAGTGCTGCTCGAGGATTGTCTGGAGATCGGTCGGCCCGGGGGGGGGGGGAGATCCTAACATACCGGGACCCGGAACCGGGATGTGCCCCGCTTGGCGGTGAGTGGAGTGGGGCACGGCCGACTATTTTTATGGATCCCGCTCAGTACGGTAGTTCGGTCGGCCCCTTGCGCACAGGGGGTAAACGGTTTGGGGAAGTGTGTGATGGACTGTCCAGGCTTGGTATGTGCTAGGTGACGGTTATAGCACTGTACTTCGCAGGCACCCGTGTATACTAACACTGACGTGGTATTCTGTTCAGGACGTATACCGTCACGAAGGTTGGCGCCTGACCTAGTGGTTGTATGATACAGTAGGCGCACATTCGAACCCGACAACTTACTCGAGTGTAAATACACCCACTCAGAGGGAATTGCATCGATAAGAGATGAGCTACTATAACAGCGCTGTAAATGACAACGATTCGAGTAGCACGGAGGTACATCTTAAACGGCTCGGGATCCAGTGATTCCACTGCAACGATGGAAGGACATGCGGAAGCATTCCTCTACTGTGGCATGTGTTGGATAGAATGCGGACACAACACCATAAACAACGAGACTCAATGAAAGGCGCAAAGCGGTACTGTCCGCTACACAGCAGGTGATACTGCAGAAAAACTACCTTGCAGGCGCCTGTCTTTATGATAAAACACGTGCGCTTCTAGGGTATTCACGGGCTGTACTAGTAGGTTCTCTTATGTCTCTACCCTGTAACACATCAGCCGTACTGTCATGGCAAAAGTATTGTGCAACATATAGTGCCTCACAACAACCCAACTTCACCAAACCTCAGATCCCATTGGAATATCATTCCTCAGCTGCAGATAATATAACCCGAGCATATAGGAAAAGGCGGAACCCATTCCTACGATGAACCAAAGCTCTCAAGAACACAGGTAAGGACCCCAATGTCGCCATTTTCCCTCTCATGTGAATCATGCGCAATTTCCGCAGCAAATTCTCTCTGAGGACAGCAGGATCGATAGGCGAGGGTCATTGGCATAATACTCGCACAGAGTACTTATCATGCACGCTTCCATACAACGGAACCAGAAGGAAATGCAATGGATATCAGCATACGTCAGTGCGCGTTTGACGTACTCTTACTGGACATCATTTTGTGGTTGCTGCTCATTGATTTGCTACTTTAAGGCCTCATCCCCTCTCCTCCCTTTCGAAGGTTAAAATTCATTGGGCTGGACTTTCGGGTGGTAACCACTATCAGCGCAGTATTCTGGCGGAGGTTACTTATGGTTATCACATATCTCATTAACTTCAGAGAGTAAATATGCTTCTTCCGAACAGGAGTTCTTCAGGTCCAGGGAGTCACCGGACCCCGATTCATGAAGGGTGGTACGTAAGTTTCTCTTCCATCGCCTCCGAACAACTGGATACCACAAAGGGAGGAGGGAGAAATAAAAGAAAAAGAAAAAGAGGGCTTCTCTTTTTCGCCTTTGGCGCATTTATACACTTTCTTAATTGCGCAGTTTATTACACGCTTTACCGATGTTTCCCACATCTCATTACTCACTTATCCTACTCCGCATCCCGCAGACTACACTCTCCACCTTCTGGTGAGAATTTATTGGCAGCCCTAAAGTTCTTTTTATCGCGTCGCACCTCCGTGGGTCGGCACTGGTGTCAACAGTCTTCTAGAGAGTGAATACCGACATACCAAAGTACTCTCTAATTACACTGCCGGGGTACCATAGCTTTACTACCGACGCCCTCACACCTGTGGACAAATGGACTACCCCACTTTTATAGTCAATGCTACCTGAGGTTCATGGTGGCGTGATCAGCACCCAGGGGGCGTTGATATTTCGGGTTCTCGGGGGTGCATTTTCTATCTCAAGGAAGAGATGAACCGCTATGCAGCTCCGAACGAACCAAACGTGGGCTTTTGAATCACGCGCGGGAGTCGGTAACTTTTCGGTGAACGGATTATTTAAAATTAATCTCCTAGCCTTTCTGGAAGAAATCAATATTCCATCATATCATACAAAACCTAGCTATAAGCTGGCCCGCAGCAAGGATGGGTGGGAATGTGGGGTCGGGGCCTGGGTTGACGCTGATAGGGTGGATACCAGACCGTGAATACGAGTGTGATACTATACCGGCCCCGTGTGGTGTTGTGCTGCCAATGGTTTGTGGAACTATCCGCCTAACTTATGCCCGAGGTGATAAGCTATCTGCCTAATATTTGGGTTTGGGCTATATAACCTAGGATGCAGAAAAGTGTCTCAGCCACCTCCGCTCGAGGATTGCTTATCTCATGTGAACGGGAACTTTATATAGCCTTCAGCTGGAAAAGTTAGGTTTCCCGCGACGCTGGGACTGCAATTAAAACATTTACATTTCCACCAGTTTCATAAAGGCAGTCTTATTGCAAACAATTGCTCCCTTATCCTAAGGCATTATTGAGCTCAGCGTTTCCAACGTTCTAGGTTGGTGATGGGTCGCTCTATCAGGAGGCCTGGCCAGGCGGGCACAGTACAGGCAGAGCTCGGTGGAACGGTGAAAACCCCCACAAGACCCGGCCCTAGCCTACGGCCCACAGGGCTACAGGTTGTTTTCAAAGACAAATTCCTTCCCCCATCCGTCTCTCCCTTCCTTTCATATTTTTGAGTGACTGAACCATGAGTAATCCACTATACAC